GAAAAATTAGGTGTATATTTTATGTTATGTAAATATTTTATAAATTATGATACAGTACAATATTTCTCAATTTTAGCGTGTGTGGGTGGACTAGTAGCAGTAAATTTTTGTCTAAAGTAAAATTAAGATATTACTCTTTCTAATGAAAATAGAAAGATCATTCGTTTCTAGTTTCTATTGAAGTCGATTGTAGATCGAGAGTGCCACGTAGTCGATCGGTGAGGGCGCCACTATAATGTAAGCGGCTGCGCCATCTTGATTGGTTAGTACGTCTTGCGACACGTGAGAGAGAGGAGGTGTATCGAAATACAGTTTTCTTATAAAAGGTTATCTCGCGCAAACTATTTCTTCTTACCCTGTCAACTCCTGCCACGCACCTCATCAACAGTTTCAAAATAAACAATAAAAACGGAATATTTTCGATTAAATACCTATACCTGAAATGGTTCAGTGACATCAAAGTATAATTTCGCACAATTCAAATACGTATCCAACTTACTTAATACCATTTTTACCATTTTATTAAAAAAAAAAACAATTTTGCAAATTATGATTTTATTTTTCATTCATTTTGAAAATGATCAATTCAAACGCATGTAGCCGCATTCTAAAACAATATTGAACAATCTAATCTTCCTTAATAGCCATAGTATTTGATTAAATATCAATGTAGATTTTTTTTTGTCAACGAGGATATACAGGGTGTTCCGCATTTTTCTGAACACACTTCAGCAGTGTATTCTACAAGAAAAAATGAGGCTAAAGTGTTATATAACAAGAAATTCATAAATGCTTAGTTAAGAAGTTATGACAAAAATATGAAATGTGATGGTTTTTTTATTTACTGAACAAACTTTATGTTATAGTTTGGGAAAGGCCACCATTAACACGAACGTATTTGATGTAGTTATTATTACTTTAATAATGCCTTAATACTACATAGTGTAACTTTTACGGAAATAAAAAAAGGTACATGATGTTTCACCATCGATTACTACGAATACTCTAGGCGTCGCGCGGGGAAGTCCCATTCGAATAAGTCTAATAGATGGCGACACTGCATTCCTCAACACTGTACTAAAACTTTGTTTAAAGAGAGCAACTGCTAGTTGAGGCACGAACAAATATTTTTAACGTAGAATTATGTGAATAACTTAAACATTTCTTTATCAGAGTTTAGTTTCTATCATTTATCTTGGACACTAAAGTATTCTTTCTTCGATGATAACTTTTTGTTGTCATAAAATTTTTAATTATCGTTCAAGTTTATGTTCAGTAAATTGCAAAGAAACTCACGATATCGAATGCTTGCAAAAGATTGATTTTACTTTATTATAAATTTTTTTAATATCTCGAATCTCAACTGAGTTTCACAGTTCATATTTTTGTTATAACTTCTTAACAAAGCATTTATGAATTTTTTGTTATATAATACCTTAGTCTTAATTTTACTTGTGGAACCCACTGTTGAGGTGTGTATGAGAAAATGTGGAACACCGTGTATGTCTAAAATGACTTTTTTCCCGTATTTGGGATGCAGTTGCCCCACTGTCGCTAGCAGGAAAAAAATGGCAAGGCGGTTGAATTATCGTCGCATATTGTCTGGGCAAAGTTATTTCTTTTTACGAGCAGCAGTAAACGACTTCTCGGTACACAATTGATTAGTCGGTTGAGAGGTTTAATTGGCCCAAGTGCCGCGACTATCGCAAGGACACGCACTTCTCGTTCCTCTAGTACTACTAACTGAAATATTTTTCTAGCTGAAACAATATTTGCCGAGTGAGTGTCCTAAGCAGACATGGGCAAAATTTTTAGCTACGTGCAAATTTACAATATCACGTAAAACACAACTGTTCGTCGCTCCATAAATAAAAACTCGAATTTAGTGTGATTTTCACACATTTTTAACGCGTAATAAATTCTATAAAAATTCACTGAAATACTAACGAGTATGCAAAGGGTATAAAATTCAAATATCTAAAAACAAAGTTAAAGAGCCTATATATTTGCAATTATCTCTCAGTACAGTAACCAAAATCAGTATTCTACAGGAAAAATTGCACTTTGTGATGTACAGAGAATAGTAAAAAATAATTTTAGGGATGTGCATTTATAGTTTAAGAATTATCAGAAAACAGATGTCATTTTTTTTGTTAATTCAATGAGTAAAAAAAAATAAAAATTGAGGTGTCGATGATTTTACCTTATTTATTACTAGGTTTATATAAAATGAATAAAAACAGTAAGTTTCATTAAAAAAAGGAAGTAAAGTTTGTTTGCAGTTTCCAAATGCCTCAGTGTATTTGTTTAAAATTCTTTGTAGAATAATAGAGCGCGCTAGGCGGTGCAAAATTTTTCTATATTATTTTTCGAACCTCCAACATATTTTATTACAGATGCCCACATTTTTTCAAATTATAGTGTGAGAAATAAATATATTTAATAGTACGATGGTGTACCTGTAATTTCATAACATTTATTATTTATCATTGTTTAAAATTCACGAGTATTAAATGTAGTATTAAATTTAAATTTGAATATAAATGCTAAACATTGTATTCAATACTATTATTATTAAAATTTGAATTTTAATATTAAATTTGAAGTGTTGGAAATTTTTAATTTTTAATCAAATAAGCGTCACTTATAAATTGCGTACGTTAGTTTTATTCCTTTTTTTGTTACTCGTAAAAAATATTGCCCACTTCTGGTCCCAAGCGCTGTTCTAAATTAAATCGTGGAATATTTTCAGTTTGTACACGACAAACTGAATAGGCGGCACGGTAATCGCATAATCGAGTCGCACTTATCGCTGAATATAAATATGCAATTGAAATCGGCGAGAATTTATGGTTTAATATTGCAATATCAACAATACCGTCATTTTTCGACCGTATATCACATTTACTTTGCATTTCGAAACGACTAAGATCTAAGCTGAAATTGCAATGGGACACGTGTGTTCCAATATAGTTATACAGAGTGTTCGATCACACCTCGAAAAAATTTTAATGAGAGATTCTAGAGGCCAAAATAAGACAAAAATAAAGAATACCAATTTGTTGATTGAGGCTTCGTTAAAAAGTTATTAAAATGTTAAATTAAAAAATTTCAAATCACTCACGAAAAAATTATTTTCGGTTGCGGGGGGCAATTACAATCATTTTTGGTGAATAGACACACCCCCGAAATCTTACGCACTTTCGAGAAAAAAATTCGAGTAGGTGCTGAAATTTTTCGGCGAAATTAGAAAATTTCAAAACGTTCTAAAAAAATTATTCTTGGTTACAGTTGTCAATTACAATCATTTTTTATCAATACACATACCCATGAAATCCTACTTACTTTAGAGAAAAAAATTCCTTATCGAAAATATAATTTTAGGCCCGAAAATGTCTCTCCGAAATTTCATGTGTATCTTTAAAACATCATAACTTTTAAACGGATCGAGTGATTTTAATGTTTCAAAATGCAAACGACGCGTATTTTAGTGAACAATATGTAGAAATTCTAAAAATATTGGAAAAGTTGTTCCTTGACCCCGTAAAGTGACAAAAACCCCATAAAAATGGTCCAATTTTCAAACAGCTATAACTCCTATAGTAGTGAATATATTTCAATGAAATTTTTTTCTGAAATAGAACCCATGGATACCCACACAAAAGTATTAGACAACTTTTCTATAGAGCGTCAAACAAAATGATTAAAAATGAATTTTTCGACAAAATTAAAAAATTTCAGATCGTTCTGAAAAAATTATTTTTCGTTTCGGGGATCAGTTACAATCATTTTTGGTGAATAGACATATCCCCGAAATCCTACCCACTTTCTAGAAAAAAATTCGAGAAGGTGTGAAATTTTTCGACAAAATTAAAAAATTTGAAATCGGTCTGGAAAAATTATTGTTCGTTATGGGGTTCAATTACAATCATTTTTTATGAATACACATACCCTCGAAATCCTACGCACTTTTGAGAAAAAAAATTCTTTACCGAAAATATAATTTCTGGCCGGAAATGTTTCTATAACTTTTTAACGAAGCCTCAATCAACAAACTAGTATCCTCGATTTTCGTCTTATTTTGGCCTCTAGAATCTCCCATTAAAATTTTTTCCAGGAGTGGTTGAACATCCTGTGTAGTAGATAGATTTATTTCCTGCTTCCCGTTAGGGTTACACTTCCTCCCCACCTTACATTTCCATCTCTCCCTTAACCTAACTTATCCTACTTATCCTACTTATTCTACTCTTACTCTACTCCTCACTGCCCTTACATCCTCCCCCCGCCGCTTTTCCCCTCTCTCTCATTTCCTTTCGCCGCACGCTCTTATCCTAATCCTACGCTACTCGCTCTCTCTCTCTCTCTCTCTCATCTCCCTTCGCCGCACGCTCTTAGCCTAACCTTACGCTACTCGCTCTCTCCCTCTCTCCCTCCTCCCTTCTCTCCCACTCCTCCACCCCCGCTCGCCCTCCCCGCCGTCGACTTCCATTTCCGCCCTTGCATTCCATTCCTTCATTCACTCCTCCCCTCATCCCCCCCTTCCCCCCTCTCCACCTCTTTCTCTCTCCTCCTGACCTCCCGCCTCTTTATCCACCCCTCCCCTCCCCCTCCCTCGTCCAAAATCTCCCTTATCCTTTCCCCGATCCCCTTCCCCTCTGCCTCATCCCCCGTACATCTCTCCAAAACGTGCTCCCATGTCTCCTCCTCCCAACCACATACCCTACATCTCCTCTCTTCCTCATCCCCCCAGTACCTCCCCCCCCCTCATCTCGTTCCCCATCCTATACCTAGCTAGCCTTCCATACCTCACTTCTCCCCACCCTGCCTTCAGGTACCCCGGTAACTCCCGTCCCACCAACTCCCTGTACCACCTATTATACCTCGACTGCACCACTTTTCCCCATCTCTCCTCTTCCTGCCTCCTCCCATCTTCCTCCTCCCATCCCTCCCAGCCCGCTCGCCCACTTGCCCCTCCCTCTCCTCCCCTCAATCCTCCCAACCCTCTACACCCCAACCTGTCTCTCTCCCACGCCGACAATTCCTCTCCCCCTTCCCTTCCCCTTTCCCTTATCTCTTCCAGGCACCACCTAGCCAACTCCCCTCCCTCTCCCCTACTCAGTTTCTCCTCATATCTCCCTGCCCTTCCCCCCGCCCACGTCCTCAACTTTTTCCTCTTCGTCTCCTCCCTTACCATATATCCTGGCGTCCTCCAGTCCACCCCCAATGACCACCTTATATACCTCTCCTGCATCCTCTCCATCTCCTCCCTCTCCCTCCACCCCCAAATCTCTGCCCCATATCCCGCCACCGTCCAGACCAACGTGTCGAACAGCCACATCCTCCTTCCCCAGTCCCTCTCAAACTTCCTTTTCCCGATTCCCCATGCCTGCCTCATTACCACCCCCGCCTTTCTCACCCTATCCCTAACCTGCGCCTCCTGACCCCCGTTCCTCCTGAACACGTACCCCAGGTACTTAAACTCCTTCACCTCCTCTATCCTTTTCCCCTTCCACCTCCACTCCACCTTCCTCTCCCTTCCTCCCCCCTTCCTAAACCTTACCACCTTCGTTTTCTCCACATTAACCTCCAACCTCTTTCTATCCAGGTACCCTTCGAGCCGCCTAATCATACTCCCCATCTCTTCCTCGTCCTTCGCCACCATCACCAGGTCATCCGCATACGCCAGCGCACACACTCTCCTCCCCCCTACCTCCACCCCTCCCCATCTTCCTTTCCTCATCTCCTCTTCCACATCCGCTATTAACAAATTGAAGAGCGTCGGACTCAGGGGGCACCCTTGCCTCAACCCCTTCGCCGTCCTAAACCCTCCCCTACCTCCCCCCCCACCTTCACCCTGCTCTTCGTCTCCCTACATCCTGTGTAGTATTAATTAGGTAAAACAGTTAATTGCATTTATTATTGCGATTATTCATGAGTTTACTATTTCTCTTAGACTTTTACAAGTAGTAATATTAGCATACTATAATATTCTGTACATGCGTAGTTTTAAATAAGATCTATTTAAACAAGATGAATGGAACATGCTAAAAATAGTAATTACATTATAAATTCGACTGAGAACAAATTCAAAAGATTTCTTGAAAGCACAAATTTTAGTTTTCCTTTCATTTCGATTATTTTCATAACGATTGTTCGAAATAGCATTATTATATTGCGTATAATTAAAATCATTGAATTCTTTGAAGACGAAGTTACTACATTTTTTTATTATGGCTTATATTAATCAAGTAGTACTATATTTCAAATAAATTATTTTATATACTATACCATTGCAATTAATATTGATATTTTTAAACATTTTTATGTATAATGTAAAATTCTATTTCCGAATATATTAACAAACAATGAAATTTTAATCATATATTAAGGAAAGGAAACTTAAAATGTTCTAAACGCATATATTAAAAAATTAAACGAATTAAATTCACACATTAAATTCTCTACTTGCGAGTGTTAATTATTGAATATAATTATTTCTTAAGATACTGGCATTGTTTAAATAACATTATACTTTTTCACTATGCTTGGATTTCTTTTTCTTAAAATCAGTATAACATTTAGTCGAAATATTAAATCAGTACAGAGACTAAACAATTAGTATCTGTTCAGTTTATAAATGTACATTGTGTTTTATGAAACTTAATTAGTAAAAAATCTGGGACGTTTCTATGGAACTTTTATTATACAAATTCTAAAATATCTCTTCCATAAGCACAATTTGAAAAAATTAATTTTCAAAAAATACCAGAACAAATATTCTGTTAAACAAAAAGATTATAAATCGTAATCCAGTCGTTAAAAACAAAACTTAATTGCATATTTCGATCCTTGATTTAGGCATAGAAAAGCTTCGATGGTTCTGGTTCTCTTTAAAAGAAAGTAATTTTAAAACCCAAAAATATATGATTTCATAGATTAGTAACGCACAAGATGAATGATAGAAGAATGAAAATTCATGTAATTCACACCTGATAAAATTGATTACCTAATGGGATTCGAAATGACTGCAAAAATTAAAGTCGACAGAAGTTATCCTAGGGTTAAGAATCATGCTACTGCAATGGGTTTCAAACTTTCTGGTAGGCGTTCCTCTAAAGAAGAATGTTTGTACTCAAAATTTGTGAACGAAAAATGTTTATTACGTTTATTCTACTTAATTTGAAAACAAGTTATTTTTACGATTGATAGAATTTTATACTCATTGAAAAGAAACAAAATTATTTAACGCGTTAATTGTTGCAGTTTCTTTAAACAAAATAATTCCCGACGCAATTTTTCGCTAGTTACGAGATGACGCGATACTTCTTTAATTTTTTCATGAATAAATTCAATTCCCTATTGCATATAGATTTGTATTCTTCTTCTAAATGCTCATTATCAATTATTTACTCGTACATGGCGTCCGGTGACAAATGAATTAATTCGTAGTTTGCAATCAACGCGTTAAAGCAAACCTCCTGTGAAATTAAATGCTTGTGAAACTTTTGCACTGGTAAATAAATCATATTTACTACACCATATATTGTAAATAATATGATGCAAAACAACAATTATAATTATCTTAAACTACAATTCATGTATTTTCCCACAAGTTTTTATTAACTACATAGGTGTACGCTCAATTTTGTAAGTAACTGTATATGTCAACACTAAATGACCGTAAAAGAGATTAATATTAAATAAGTGGTATATTTAAGCTCTTTGCGTCCATCTACAGAAAATTACTTAGTAGATTACGTCCGCTTTAAAACGATTCAATTACTGTTCGAACCATTATTTGTACAACATGTGTGGTTACGAGTAATTCGCATTTGCACATTAAAATGTAACAAAATATGTACTTACGAAACTAAGTCGAAGTCGAATTCGTAAATCTTTTCATAATTTATTATTAATGCGATCTCCTTCTTTAAATATTTTTACAGCATATTGCACTATTAGGCAAGTTACAAGAAACGAAAAATCGACTCTAGAGTGCAATAATCAGAAATAGAAATTGCTTGAATGGGTGTATTTATCCGCTGATTGAATATACAGGGTGTTCAGCCAGCCCTGGGAAAAATTTTAATGGGAGATTCCAGAGGCCGAAATAAGACGAAAATCAAGAGTATCAATTTCTTGATTGAGGCTCCGTTAAAAAGTTATTGACGTTTAAAGTTCCGCCTGTAGAACAGCAATCTTCGAACAGTTGCGTGCATGCGATAGTGGTTCTCACTTAGAACGAGAGACTCTACTCACTGGCGTATCGACAGCCTTACAGTTTTCTGCGTGAGAACCACTATTACGTGTACGCAGCTGTTTGCAGATTGCCGTTCTACAGGTGGAACTTTAAACGTTAATAACTTTTTAACAAAGCCTCAATTAACAAATTGGTATTCTTGATTTTCGTCTTATTTTGATCTCTAGAATCTCTCGTTAAAATTTTTTCCAATGGTGGCCGAACACTCTGTATAATAATGAATGAATCGCGTCTTCAATCAGATACGAATACTGACTCTGATTCAGATGTAGGCATAATATAATATTATAATTAATTTAAAATGTATATTTAAAGAAAAAATTCAAATAAGTGTTAATTTGTTATCCATTGATCCTATATTCGATGTACTCCATTGATTAATTCGACTGTTTCAAAGCATTCGATAAACTGGCAAAAAATATGTTCCAATAAAAGTTACTCAGCAATCATGTGACAACGATTTGTAAACGAAAAAATTGGCAAAAAACTTTTTATTCGATAAAAAATTAAAATCGCCTTCATTCTTTTAGTAAAATTGTATTTTTTTTTTCATTGATCGATGCATCCTTGTATCCTCCTTAAAAAAGTATTAGAGGCTTCAGGTCGAAAATTGAATAGTTTAGGAGTTATTAATTTTGCAATTGTTTTTAAAACAATTAATTCTCAAGATTAGATGTCAAAGGAAATAAATCCAGATATGTCTTGAATTTTAACGGGTCTGTAAAAATAAGTTCAATAACAAATGATGGGTATGCTAGTTTCCAGTTGTCTAGCCACAAAGTTTCGTTTTCCTGAACAATTTGAGAGGTTTGGTCTGGCAGTCAACGTGTTAAAATTGTACTCTGAGAATTAGGATTCGAATTTTGGCCCATCGAAACGAAATCTCCCATAGGAAGAATCGCCGTTGTCGCGTAAAATCTGTAAGCAAAGAGTATTCAAAGTCGTAGATTCAGCTGGGGTGAACATAATCGAATGAAACCACGGCGGAGCCCGGTTAGCTTCGTCGCTAAATCAATTTATCGGTTGCATCACGAGAGTCGACCCCGCCCGTCCCTCGTCATCCCGTCGCATTCCGAGGTTGAAATTGATGATGTTTATTCCGGTTCCCAAGAGAATTCGGGTAGCTCGCGAGTGTCGAAATCTCGATCAGTCTTCTCACGATTTAAGGGGACATTCTGCCTTGTAGGCAAGGAAAAAAGATGTTTCTTTGTGATTTTTTTTTTTTGCGGGATATTAACAAGTTAACTATTTCTGACGAGTATACTCGTCATGAAAAAAGTGTAAAATTTTGTGTTACGACGTGTATACTTATCACGAAAAAAGTGTAAAATTTTGTGTTACGACGTGTATACTCGTCACGAAAAAAGTGTAAAATTGTGTGTTACGACGAGTATACTTGTCATGAAAAAAGTGTAAAATTTTGTGTTATGACAAGTATACTCGTCATGAGTAATAAGTAGTGACAATTTGCAGTTTAAATTGCAATTTTAACACTAGACTTACGGAAGCCGTCAATTTGACGGATGTCTGATTCCAATTTAAAATTAAAGAACGTGTAAATATTATTTTTTAACAACTTATGTTGAATTTGATTGATGCAATGGCACGAATATATATTCTAATTAAAAGAAAAATCGTATTGTAAGGTAATCGTCAACGTGAGAGGTATCAATAAATATACGTGCGCTCAGTGCCCGTAAATTTAGTGTTAATGAAAACTAAAATATATTCGTAAACTTTAAGATGTTTGAAATATTTAGGGCCCGTCGAAATAAAAGGAACAAATAAATGTCTATAAATAATTAATATAAACAAAATTGCATATAGTATGAATTATTTTTCGTAAATGTATCGATGCCAATTAAACAGCAAATTAAAGTAAGAAATTGATTTTTCATGTTTTTTTTTCGTTCGTATGCAAAATATTTATGTTAATGTAAGTAAATAAATAAATGTAAGTAATGAAATAAAAAAATAAAAGTCATTTTATTACAACCTAATTTCATATTACACGTAGTCTGTGTTTGACGAGTATAGTCGTCGTTGCTAAATTAGTGCGATGCAATTTAGATACGCATTTTCCAAAGAGGTCGAACAGTTAACTGATTAAAGAGCGATTAATTCCGGGGTTTGTGGATATATTTATTATATATTTAATAGAGATGGCGTGCAAAATCACTAACAGTGATTTATCACAGTGATCACAAAATCACGATCACGCTCGTGATTAAACTCCATTCACGACTGTGATCCGAAAGATGGCGTTAGTGTTCCGGTAACTCCCTCCAGTGGAAATTCAAAGAATTACAAATGCGCCAAATTTAAATTGTACAGTAATGTAATCTAAGCAATGAAATAAGTTGCTTAGTTGCATATTTTGTACATTTCAAATGTCAAATAGTTTCAGTCAATTATTTAAATAAATGATAAGTTTGTTGCCACAAAAAAGAAGTATTGCTTAGGTGTAAAACACTCGCTTTAAAAATAAGAAGAAGTATAAAATCATCAGTAATGAAAATTCTTATGTTCATTTATATGAAAACATTAATGTTACTGACGCTAATAATTTTGATAATCGAATTAGTATTCAATAGCAAATATCAAGTATCCATAAGTGATTCATTCAAAACGTAAAGTTCAAAAGAGACTTGACGTGAATTTATAAAACTGGATTAATTTAAATAATCAGTGAAAACTCTTACAAGTTTAATAACGGAATTTGTTAATTAACTGATTAGCTATAATTTCAATCATATACATCATACCTTTTAACTAAAGTGAAACTATGTTCATGATATTTAAAAAAGAAATATTTAAAGAACGAACATTAATGAAACGAACGTTGAAACAACTAGAAATAAAAATTATGCTTACATCTATTTATCACTTTTAATTTTTCCTTTTCTTTCTCCTAATGAGAAAATTATGTTAACATTGCTTTTAGACAATATTATAATATAATACATATACAGCCTAAGGACATAATTCGTGAAAAGTGAATAGAACGCTCTCCACCAATCAGAAGCGATCACGAAGAATCACGAATCACTGTGAAGAATCACCATGATTGGGAATGAACGTGATCGAATCACGAGTAATTCAAAAGTAGCAGTTCACGCCATCTCTAATATTTAACTATATTTACGAATTTTTGCAACGCATAATATCTATTGATTACGAAGTCTTTGTTGATCAACAAACAACAGTTTTCACGTACAGCGCCCAACTGCGTAGGTAATATTTTGCGTACAAGTTATTCGAAATCCAAAAACCAAAAATATTATTAATATAGATAAATTTGGTTATATCACGAACTAAGATCTTTTCAAAAAAACGAAAAATGGCACGATGGTAGTTATTTTACTAAAAGGTACTGAATATTTTCATATATTCGGTTGCTCTTTTGTTAATAAAAGAAAGAGTATTGAATACATCGCGGTTATCTAAAGTTCATCTTATAGAGAGACCAGTTCTAAAGATACTGCATAAATTTGATGTTTGATATCTTGAATAGTTTGCATGTTATTGTCTACACAGTGTCGAAAAATGTAGTATCGAGAAAAACTGCTTTAAAGTTTTACGTTCAGTTGTTACACCTGCGCGTGGTACATTTCACCAGGCTATAACTTCGTTTGTTCTCCGAATTTCAATTTAATATGTGGTAGATATATTTCCGAAACTACATATATGTATACTAAAAGAAAATGCAAAAAAATTCGTTTTTTTTTAATCCCACAAAGTAGGCCACTTAACCAGTTAACTGTTTCAAGAAGGTAACTGTAAGACGGTAATTTGCGTCGCACAGATTTAGCGATGACGAGTATACTCGTCAAACACAGAGTATGTGTAATATGAAATTAGGTTCAAATAAAATGAATTTATTTTCTAATTTCATTACTCACATTTATTTATTTACTTAAGTTAATATAAATATTTTGCATTCGAACGAAAAATAATTCATACTATATGTGGTTTTTTTATATTAATTATTTATAATCTGTTATTTGTTCTTTTTGTTTCGACGGACCTGAAAATATTTCACATATCTTGAAGTTTACGAATATATTTTTGTTTTCATTAAAATTGCTATTTAAACTGCAAATTGTCACTACTTATTATTGATGACGAATATATTCGTCATAACACAAAGCTTTACACTTTTTTCATGACGAGTATACTCGTCATAACATAACATTTTACACTTTTTTCATGACGAATATACTCGTCGTAATACAATATTTTACACTTTTTCATGACGAGTATACCCGTCAGTTTAACCAGTTAACTGTATCTGAGGAGTATACCCATAATGAAAAAGCATAAAATTATGTATCATAACGAGTATACTAATCATGAAAAAAGTGTAAAATGTTAAAATTATGACGAGTATACTCGTCATGAAAAAAGCGTAAAATTGTGTATTATGACGATTATACACTGGTGGACAAAATGATAAGGCACCGTTGTACACATAAGAAATTCCAGATGTATTTAGTAAAATCTTAAAGTTATTAGCAGTAAACTATGTTATAAGTGAGAAACTTCCTTTCAAGGCCACGTACCAGTCTAGACAAACAAAACACGGTGCATTGTGGTCTTTGAGTTTCATTGTTTCGAAATTTCAGGTGGACAAAATGTTAAGGCACTTGAAGTAGTCTGTTAGAAAACGTTGAAGTGTGCAGTTCTCTGCAAGTTTATCTTGTAGAAATTACTTATTAATAGTTAGTTTATAAGTGTTTAAATACTTTTTAACCCAAAATTAAATTATGAGACGAGGAACAGCATTAAGCGAAGATGAGAAGATTAAAATACTCCAGTTAAAGTCTAATGGAGAAAATCAAGTACAGATTGCAAAAAAACTAAAAAGAAGTCGGTGTGTTATACAGAATTTTTTACAAAACCCCGAAAAATATGGGAAACAGAAGCCAAAGGGAAGACCTGCAGCCTTTTCTTCAAGAGAAAAAAGATTAATTTTGAAAAAAGCATCGAATTCTGGACTTACGCCTTGACAAATTGCAGTGGATTGTGGAATTAACGTATCGACTAAAACAGTGAAAAGAGTAATTCAAAAAACAAGCTATTTAAAACGGAAGAAATTTACTATAAAGCCGCCGTTAATAGACAAACATAAGACCGCCTGATTAAGTTTTGCAATAGAGCACATTCAATGGAAAAACCAGTGGAAACGAATTATATTCACGGATGAAAAAAAACTGAATTTGGATGGTCCAGATGGATATAAATACTATTTCCACGATTTAAGAAAGGAGCAAAGGGTATTAAGTCGCAGACAATGTGGTGGTGGTGGAGTAATGATATGGGCAGGTATCGGCTATAGAGGAAAAACGGAAATAGAATTCATTCAAGGCCGTATGAATAGTGCTGGTTACTTAAATTTAATTAAGAGACACATAGACACTTACGCTCGCAGAATTGCTGGGACAAAATATATATTTCAACAAGATAATGCAGCTGTGCATACCGCTCGCATAGCAAAAAAATTATTTTGAAACGGAAAATATAAAAGTTTTAAATTGGCCCGCAAGATCTCCTGACCTAAGTATTATCGAGAATGTTTGGGGAAAACTCAGCCGAACATTATAGGAAGGTGGAAAACAGTATAATACAGTGTCCGAATTAAAATCTGCAATTTTAGAAGCTTGGGAAAGCTTGGATCAAAATTATATAAAGGATCTGTACAGAAGTTTACCAAGAAGAATGATTTAAGTGGTACATCGTCAAGGGCAGTCGACACATTATTAAAACTTAAAAAAACTATGTAATCTTATTTCATTTTAATACTTTTGTAATTTTATATTGAAAGTGCCTTATAATTTTGTCCACACTCAATTTCATTTTCTTGGTATAAATAATAAATGGATTGAACGATTTATTTAATTTTTTCATATATTATGTCAAAACTAGTACCTTATTTTGTTGTGTATTCATATTCCACGTATACGTACAAATAGATGTTCATTTCCAAAAATTTTGAGGTGCCTTATCATTTTGTCCACCAGTGTACATGAAAAAAGTGTAAAATTTTGTATTATGACGAGTATACTCGTCAGAAACAGTTAACTGGTTAAATAATTGCGTCTAACCGCGAAGGAGAGTGGGTGGGCGGTTCGGGGTGACGTGTTTGGGGGGATTGGTTCGCTGGCGTTAGCGATTGTTGCCCAAGTTGCGTGTCGCGTGTCTTCCATTCGTTTCCTGGAACGTCGCGTCGACGATCGCGGGCATCGACGCGCAAGGCCGATCGACGCACGCCGCGACGCCACGCGCGATCGTTGCTCGGCTATGTACACGACTTTAAAGAACCCGTGACGGATATATAAATGTGGCACGATCTGGCTGCGCGATGTACTTAAACGATCCGTTACCGTCGCGGATCGCGTGAGTACGTCGTGCCCGCGCGAGTAAGTACGTCGAACAGTTCGGGAGCCGCGAGACGATCAGAAGCAAAAGGGGCACCGAGCCGAGGACCGATGAGCAGCAGAAATTTGGAAAAGATGCTCAGGCTTACCACCTTATCGAGGGTCCGTCTTTCACGGTATTAAATACATACATAGTTTAGGGTAGTGTTTCGTTAACATGTTCACTGGTAGATCAAAGCAGTATAATATTTTGCAAAAGTAACATTTTTATTTTAGACCATTGCAAGCTACATAACCTAAAATTTGTTTCAGTACTTATTTTTGTATGTATTAAATACTTACATAGGTTAGAGCACTGTTTCGTTAACATGTTCACTAGCAGATCAAAACAGTATAATATTTTGCAGAAGTCATATTTTTAGTTTAGACCATTGCAAGCTACATAACCTAACATTTTGTTCAGTACTTATTTTTGTAGCCTTGTTAAAATTCACAAATTCTATCCAAATTTATTTCCCTCGATGTCTTAACTTAAGAATTAATTTTTCTAGTATCACAGTAGTAAATCCTGTCACCCACATGTGGGCGACGTGACAGTCAAAGTGTTAATTGTGCCCCGCGGACTCTCGGGGGTCCTCGAACACGTGTGTTCGTGGAGGTATTCTACTTTAGAATAGGATTCGAAAAAATAGCGAATATTTCTTTGCAATAACGCAAAACTTTGAACGCGAGTTTCTCGAAATCATATTTTTCGAAATGGTTGCTACGATATCTCGAGTTTTGAAGGAACAGATTTGAAGAGAATTCGATACTGTTTACTATTTTTATTTAAAGGCAAAAAGTACAAAAAACAGATTATTTGAATTTAAAATGTTTTTTTTTTATTGTACCGTACCAAATAACATGCGCTTTTGTTTTTTCTTTTTTTTTCATTTTTAATGAGTAGAAAGAGCAGAGAATCGTGGTAACCATGGAAACAATTTTTTTCTGAGAACCATATCTAAGATTAACGTAATTTCTAAAATATTCAATATTTTTGTATGGAAAAAATTATGGATATTCGTCGAACATAGATATGTGTTCAAACTTGACACAAAAATATTTGACCGTTTCTCTTCAAAAAATTGTGTTCTAGAGCTCTGTCTAAACCACAATTTTTGGAAGATCCCTTTCAAATTTTTGTTAAAGGAAGGTATTTTTTTCCATTCACAACTTTTCTCGTACAAAAATATTAAAAATTGAAGTAGTCTCTATGAATTCAGAGAAGGCCTTGTACAAAAAAGTTTTGCCACGATATCTAAAGTTCTAGTTAATTTATTGACACCAAATTTGGAAGAAATTTTCAACACGTGTGTCTTTATAGTTCGAACTAGAATTTTCAAAATACGATGTTCGTTTACTATTTTTTTTACTCACTAAATGTATGTTTTTTTTTACCCTGCAAAATAGAATACCGCATCAAGGGGCCTCTCTACTTTGTGGGATTAAAAACATCGAATTTTTTTTGCGTTTTCTCTTAGTATGGAGTCTCAAAAATATATCTACCAAATATTAAATTGAAATTCGGGAAACTAACGAAGTTATAACCTGGTGAAATGTACCACTCGCAGGTATAACAACTGGACGTAAAACTTTAAAGCTGTTTTTCGCGAAACTACATTTTTAGACATTGCGTAGACAATAACATGAAAACTATTCAAGATACCAACATCAAATTTATGCAGTATCTTTAAAACTGGTCTCTCTATAAGATGAACTAAGATAACCGCGATGTATGTAATACTTTTTCTTTTATTAACAAAAGAGCAACCGAATATATGAAAATATTCAGTACCTTTTAGTAAAATAACTACCATCGTGCCATTTTTCGTTTTTTTGAAAAGATCTTAGTTCGTGATATAACCAAATTTATCTATATTAATAATATTTTTGGTTTTTGGATTTCGAATAACTTGTTCGCTAAATATTACCTACGCAGTTGGGCGCTGTACCTGAAAACTGTTGTTTGTTGATCAACAAAAACTGCGTAATCAATAGATATTATGCGTTGCAAAAGTTCGTAAATATAGTTAAATATTAGAGATGGCGTGAACTGCTACTTTTGAATTACTCGTGATTCGATCACGTTCATTCCCAATCATGGTGATTCTTCACAGTGATTCGTGATTCTTCGTGATCGCTTCTGATTGGTGGAGAGCGTTCTATTCACTTTTCACGAATTATGTCCTTAGGCTATATGTATATGTATTATATTATTATATTGTCTAAAAGCAATGTTAACATAATTTTCTCATTAGGAGAAAGAAAAGGAAAAATTAAAAGTGATAAATAGATGTAAGCATAATTTTTATTTCTAGTTGTTTCAATGTTCGTTTCATTAATGTTCGTTCTTTAAATATTTCTTTTTTAAATATCATGAACATAGTTTCACTTTAGTTAAAAGGTATGATGTATATGATTGAAATTATAGCTAATCAGTTAATTAACAAATTCCGTTATTAAACTTGTAAGAGTTTTCACTGATTATTTAAATTAATCCAGTTTTACAAATTCACGTCAAGTCTCTTTTGAACTTTACGTTTTGAATGAATCACTTATGGATACTTGATATTTGCTATTGAATACTAATTCGATTATCAAAATTATTAGCGTCAGTAACATTAATGTTTTCATATAAATGAACATAAGAATTTTCATTACTGATGATTTTATACTTCTTCTTATTTTTAAAGCAAGTGTTTTACACCTAAGCAATACTTCTTTTTTGTGGCAACAAACTTATCATTTATTTAAATAATTGACTGAAACTATTTGACATTTGAAATGTACAAAATATGCAACTAAGCAACTTATTTCATTGCTTAGATTACATTACTGTACAATTTAAATTTGGTGCATTTGTAATTCTTTGAATTTCCACTGGAGGGAGTTACCGGAACACTAACTCCATCTTTCGGATCACAGTCGTGTATGGAGTTTAATCACGAGCGTGATCGTGATTTTGTGATCACTGTGATAAATCACTGTTAGTGATTTTGCACGCCATCTCTATTAAATATATAATAAATATATCCACAAAACCCGGAATTAATCGCTCTTTAATCAGTTAACTGTTTGACCTCTTTGGAAAATGCGTATCTAAATTGCGTCGCACAAATTTAGTGACGACGAGTATACTCGTCAAACACAGGCTATGTGTAATATGAAATTAGGTTGTAATAAAATGACTTTTATCTCTGTATTTCATTACTTACATTTATTTATTTACTTACATTAACATAAATATTTTGCATACGAACGAAAAAAAAACATGAAAAATCAATTTCTTACTTTAATTTGCTGTTAGAGAATGGTATCGAGCAAAGTGTGGTTCAGTGCATAATGGAACTTCGCAAATTGACCACCAATATATGAATCCGTAATTTCTTCTGTGACGACTAATAAATGGCATCGATACATTTACGAAAAATAATTCATACTATATGCAATTTTTTTTATATTAATTATTTATAAACTTTTATTTGTTCCTTTTATTTCGACGGGCCTCAAAATATTTCAAACATCTTAAAGTTTACGAATATATTTTAGTTTTCATTAACACTAAATTTACGGGCATTGAGCGCACGTATATTTATTGATACCTTTCACGTTGACGATTACCTTACAATACGATTTTTCTTTTAATTAGAATATATATTCGTGCCATTGCATCAATCAAATTCAACATAAGTTGTTAAAAAATAATATTTACGCGTTCTGCAATTTTAAATATGGAATCAGACATCCGTCAAATTGACGGCTTCCGTAAATCTAGTGTTAAAATTGCAATTTAAACTGCAAATTGTCACTACTTATTACTCACGACGAGTATACTTGTCATAACACAAAATTTTACATCTTTTTCATGACAAGTATACTCGTCGTAACACAAAATTTTACACTTTTTTTATGACAAGTATCCTCGTCAGAAACAGTTAACTGGTTAATAGCCTGGAAACAAAAAATCACAAAGAAACATCTTTTTTTCTTGCCTACAAGGTAGAATGGCCCATTAACACATTGACTATCTATCAGGGAGTTTTTCTTCATTGTGCCACGTTAGGATTATTTATATGTTTATATTAACAGTGTACGAATTAAATGACTCATGGCCAACATAGTTTTTTATAATTTCGAGTGAAACGCGATTAAAGAATTCGGAACTAGTATTTTAACATTAGAGTTGTCGACTTGTATTACACCATTACTCAACTATTTTAGATTTATATTACTCTTCGTAGCAGCAGAAAAGACACTGCTGGCCAAATTTTCCTGTCTTTTGGCTATTCTAGCCTCTTTTATAACACTTGGTGCTCGGACTTCCGGGATGGATACACATGCCTTGTCGATTTCGCTAGCAATGTCAGCTGAGATCAGTAATTATACTCGTCGCGTCCATGATTCACAGTAGATTACCGATGCCTTCGTTAACAGTCGGATTGCGAATGATCGGATGGAGAAATCGTGTCTCTTATGATCCTCTCTTTCAAGCTTGCTAGACGTCATAGAATGAACTTTAGCAGATTTTTATCTTTACATTAAAATACGCATATTTCTGAATTTACGATTCATCGACAAGATTACAGCATTTCTTCGTTAAAAGTATTCGGTACGAATGCAACTTTTTATTGTATGTCTTGACGATTTGTGACGTTCGTCACATTTTGTACTGTGTTTATTGTCATTATGTAATACTGCAAACAATTTTTAAAAACATAATAGCTTCTTGATTCCTTTTCGAAATTCAATGTTGGGTCACTATAGTCTTCGTAATTTAGAGAAGCCACTTTCTTAGACTTCGAGTTTCCAATTGAATATATAGATAATATAGACAACAAAAATCAATAAAAATTGATTTTTGCTTCATCAAATAAAACTTTTGGAGTTAAACGTATTATATTATTTCCTGGATAAATGTAATGTTCCACAGTCGAATTAGAATCACGCGAAACTTTCGACATTTTTCACCTTTTTATTAAAATCGAAAAGTGTGAACGAACTCTAATAGCACAGTTTGTATGTTGTTAAGCTGATATACATATACGTGTTAATATTTTATGCGTATCATTCGAGTTTTCTCACTTGGGATGTCTTATCGTTTCCTTACATTAATTCACACTTCCTTCTCTCTTACGTA